CTTTGCGCGAAATTCAAAACAAACCAAACTAAACCTAAATTTTATTACCAATGTATGTTGTGTTTTTTCTTAAACTTTGTTTTGCATTTCCTGTTCGGTGATTTTTTATATATTTTTGTGTCTGTATACGAAATAAACATATAATGCCTCCACAATTGAAAGAGCGAACATTTTCTGTGACAGGATATTTCTAAATTTGTAACTGAGTTTGTCAACACTATCTGGAAACAATTAAATCTGTCAGTATGTAAGTACACAATCGTTGTATTGTATAATGAAATCGTAAATATCATACATTTCGCATGTCTATGAAGTTTATGTAGCTTTTAAAGTCTAAGTAGATAGTAAATATTAAAAGTAGAGCTGAATTGATCGTAGTTAAACTAACTTTCACTCTGAAAAATACATTAAGCTATATTTGTAGACTGACCCTGTTTGAACTTTTGACTGTTTGCTGTATGTCAGACACAGTTTAATCTTACTGAGTAGTGAATGTAAAACGGTTTTGTTCTAAAGTACTGTTGAAATACAAGAATTGTGCATTATCATTTATAAACTGAGTTCATGCGTGTTATTGATTATTTCATAATTTTAATTGTTACAGTATAATAGAATCTCTGATTTGCCAACAAATATATTTGTTTGAAAGTGTCATGACCTTAGTCTCATACATTTTATTACAGACTAGTAATATATATATATGCAAGCGTATTTGTGTTAAATTTTTTAGTTCTAGCTTTTTCAAAGCTACTGACCTTACAAGAAATTCCATTTTGTGATAAACTCTTAGACTGTCAGTTATATTCAGTCAGATAGGCGAGTATGCAAATTTAGATGGAGTTATCTCTCAATGTCTATTGCAGAAGAAAGTTCATTCATAAGCTGTACTCTAAAACTACAAAGTTTTATGAATTTTAATTGTATAGTATGCTTTGAACTTCAAGTGAATGTTCTATAGAAAATGGCAAGTGTTACTATTCTAAATATTTTCTATAATAGTGATTGGTTAATCAGTAAGTCATTCATTTGTTATATCTAATTGTAGCAAAATAGTTAATGACCTTCAGATGGAAATGGAAAGAACGCCTATATGCTGTTAGTTTCAGTCAGCAAAAAACAAAACAAAAAACTAGCTCTCAACAAAGATTTGTGAAAATATCTACAGAGAGGTAAGATTTTCTACAATAGTAATGGTTAAGCATAGATCCTTTATACTGTTGCGTCAGCGAGATTACGTGACTAGTGTCACGCCACCTATTTTCTAGAAATATCCCGTTCCTTCGTGAAAGCCCTAGCATTTACTAGATATATGTTAGTCTGGTATATATATAAGACACTCACAACGTGACGGGACAATGTGTGTGTAGGTAGTGAGTAATTGAACTGCAATCAAAAAGTATTGTTGAAGTTAACGTTCGTTGATATAGCGTTTGTTATAGAGCGACTGTTGAAAATAAGTGTATCGTAAAGTTGTATTCGGAAAGAATAAACCAGATTTATTAAGAAAGGACTTGTGTCGCTAAAGTTTCGTCGGAACGAAGTTACGAAAAATCAATTAACGAACGGAGACGTAACAATACTTTAGTGATCAACTTATGAAGCTAAACATGATATTTAAACTAGACAGGGTCCCCAAAAGGGTTCTATTTCAAGAGTAAATAAAACCCAAATTAATAGTATCAAATATTTTTTATTTCTTGCTTTTGAAGTTCATATGTTATGCTGTGTTGTAACCTATAGAGTATATAATTATTCTCGAGATTCATGGCATGCACACGTTTTACTGATGTCACGAAAGTACAAATTGTAACATTAAATTCCCTTATGTGACGTCATTTTAGTGTCTACTGACTGACTGACTGACAACACATTACTGTACTGTGGTGCGAGTGCTTAAAACAAGTGACCCTTCCAGGTGGTCTTTGGCTCCCTTTCGAGGAACTATGCATCCTTTACAGGATGGATAGACGTTATATATTCATTATAGAAATGAATTAGTGATAAGCATTTTACATATAACATGTTAGGAAATGTAAAAAGTATGATTAAATATAGAGGCGAAAACCTAATCAGTACGTTAAATGCTTACTAAATCATAAAACACAATTGGCCTTCTCATTCAATATTTAGAAAACGAAACATTAGGTGTGATAAAAACTTTTCAGCAGTGAGATAAATGTGTTAGTGTCATTCCCATCTATGGAACCTTTGTAACACAATCCACTTAATAACACCATCTACCTTTGTAAAACACAATTCAATAAAGCTAAATATATAAATGAAAACTATAAGCATAAGTTGAGACAATATGAAATCTGTATCAGTCCTACAGTGGTATGTAGTAACATTGTCCGCCTTTGTAAAACACAAACACACAATATGCCAAGTAAGGCCATCCACCTATAGAACCTCAGTAGCACCGTCTGCCAATATTGAAACATCACCGCTTATATAATCTTAATAACACTATCCGCCTATAGAAAAATCGTCCGCCTTTATAAAACGTGTGTAAGAGAAAACTATAAAATTGAAAAGATTAAAATAGCAGAACGTTTTATTTATATCAGTACATTAAATGTGATAATAACACTATCCAGCTCTAGAAACAGCAAAAAGTATGTCATGCAAGTTAATTACAGAAGCGAAAACTTTATAACTAATGATTGTTTTTTGTTTTTGAATTTCGCGCAAAGCTATATGAGGACTATCTGCGCTAGCCGTCCCCAATTTGGCAGTGTAAGGCTAGAGGGAAGGCAGCTAGTTTTCACCACCCACCGCCAACTCTTGGGCTACTCTTTTACCAACGAATAGTGGGATTGACCGTCACATTATTACGCCCCCACGGCTGAAAGGGCGAACATGGTTGGTGTGACGGGGATTCGAACCCGCGACCCTCAGATTGCGAGTCAAGCACCTTAACCACCTGGCCATGCTGGGCCAATATATAACTAATGAAACAGTGAAATGTTTCATGCATGAGGTGATGGATAATTGTAAAAATTATGCCAGACATATAAGGTAAAAGACTATTGACTCATTTATGATCCTACGAACTATGCTAACATTATCCTTTGTGGCATAATCCACCTATGGAACCTTTTTAGCACTTTCCGTCTATAGAAACACCATCTGCCTTTGTAAAACGTATGTAAAAGAAAACTGTAATATTGATAACATTAAAATAGCAGATTTAATGTTTTACTTATAAAGCAAAACTGTAAACACAACTTTAGGCAAATTTTTATTAAATTATTAATTTTAAACCTTTGATTGTTACAATACAATTGATGACACATTGTCACTCTTTGGTCATTTGCTCGCGAACTATCTGCACCCTCTGACTGTCATGGCCGCATAGCATCATTCCCATAGCAATGCGCTCTCTGGTGAGTAGCACTCAAAATATAGGTCGTTTGCATATAAGCTATATAACCCTCAGATATATATATATATATATATATATGACGTAATAATTGTAAAACCCTCGGGTGGCATTCTTTGATCTCGTCTACATGGCGACCCCTACTGAGATGGCATCGTTTGGGTGTCCAATAATCTCGATAACTATTTTACTTCGGTAATGTAAATAAGTGGTATCACAAGTGTTGTCATTTAAGGAGTAACCTATTGTTGCATATCTGCTTGTTTATTAATTTCCAGTATAAATTCTTTTCGAGGAACTTCAGCGACACAAGTCCTTTCTTAATTAAACCGGTTTATTTTTCCTCAATACAACTTTGTAATACACAGAATTTCCAATCCGTACGTTAAACTTAAGTACTTTTATAACACACCTATAAATCACAGTGATTCACACACTTTACTTACGGTGCCTACTATCCTACTATTCGCTTAGCTCAATTATCTATCTCTTCAGGCCCGGCATGGCCAGGTGGTTAAGGCACTCGACTCGTAATCTGAGGGTCGCGGGTTCGAATCCCCGTCACACCAAACATGCTCGCCCTTTCAGCCGTGAGGGCGTTATAATGTGACGGTCAATCCCACTATTCGTTGGTAAAAGAGTAGTCCAAGAGTTGGCGGTGGGTGGTGATGACTAGTTGTCTTCCCTCTAGTCTTACACTGCTAAATTAGGGACGGCTAGCGCAGATAGCCCTCGTGTAGCTTTGCGCGAAATTCAAAAACAAAAAACAAATACTATCTCTTCAATCAATCTATTCGGCCCCCCAGTGGCACAGCGGTATGTCTGCGGACTTCCAACGCTAGAAACCGGGTTTCGATACCCGTGGTGGGCAGAGCACAGATAGCCCTTGTGTAGCTTTGTGCATAATTAAAATACAAACAAAAATACATACAATCTATTCGATCTATCTGCATATCTATCTATCTGTGCAATTGCGCTGGTTTTTCTTGGCAGGCTTATATACTAAAAAAGAGGGCGTCTAGCAAACACTCTGACATTCGCGGGGTTCCTCGATAATTCTAGAAACTCCAGCGCGCATGCTTCTAGCGTCACGCGACTTCCGCTGTCATAACACTATCTTATCATATCGATTGCGCCAATCAGTTTGCGTGTGCCTTGAGAAAACATAACAACGTAAAGTTGGACAAACTAAATTCCGGTTTATTAGGAGTAAATAGTCGTTTTCTTTTCTTTCCTTTTTTGTTGACATATATTCTCTAGTTAGCACTAAAAATTATAAACGCACAATATGAATAAATGGTCTAAACCCTAAAATAATGGAGCAACAAATTGATATTCCCTTCAGTTTTTGTTATTGTTGTTTGTTTGTTGTTAAATGCACATGTATCGCCGTTTGCTTATTTCCGGTGGTTTTTTCTTCTATATTTATATTCCCAGTCACCAATAATGTTCGTGCAATTGCGTAATTCCGTAGTTTATTTATAGAACTGCAAAATATTAATAATATAATCTTTTTTTCTGCCTTAAAAAGTCAATAAAAACGCATTTTAGTTAATACGCACTAGATGGCACATTAGTTAAAGATGTCAATAATGGTGAAGTTGAAGAAGGTAAAATAAATTATAAACACTGAAAATTATCTAATTTGTGAATTATGTTTAGTCAGCTACAAGACAAAAGCTGAAAAAGTAAATCAAGGTAACAACTTTATGATGGTAATTTTTAATAGATGGACAATGGCAACAGTAACAAACATTTTACATGTGAGATGGCTACGCTACAGATATTTGTCTTTTAATACTTGCATATTTCAGAATATACATATTTCATCTTCAGCGAGCTATATCCTACTTTTTAATTTATCTATTTCTTTTACTTTGTATTTTAAAATATTGGAATTTTATAAATGTATAAAATATTTAAAATAACTTGCTCAAGATGGAAACGTTAAATGTTTGTTGCCGCCTCAGGTGTGTTAAATGTTTGTAGCTGTTTTGCCGTCGTACTTTTATTCATATTTAAGAAGTGTTTATAGTTATACGTATTTATGTTGAGGTTGGACAAACACATTATTCTCTTGAGAAAAGTAAATATTTTACCCCGCTCTTTATTCTGTAAAGTGTTAGACTGCACAACAACAGATGGTAACTTAGTCATCCGTTAAAAAAAAAATATAACAGGCTTAAGTTTAACTGGAGTTCAGTGTGTCTTTTTCCAAATATTAAACTTGTAGTAACATAGTGTTATCTTCAGAATAAGCCTTTGTTTTATCAGTCCCATAGATAATCTTGTAAGCTTCAGTAAGACTAAGATGTAATCTTAGTCTTACCCATATTTTTCCAAGAAAAATATGTTACAGAGATCTAATTTATCCCTGTAATTGATAATGGTAATGGGTACATACAGGACAGTTATACACCCATTGTTCAAAAGGCTATATTAATATATACACGAATGCACTGTGCCTTATTGTTTTATATACATCATTACATGGCTACATCAAGATTGCTCATGTCTGTAGATATTCTTTTTTCACATTACATAGCATCACATTGTGGTATAAAGCTAAATTAAAGGCAAAGTATTTAGAGTTTAGTATTAAGATCCTAGACAGTACAATCTAACCTGTAACAACTGATTTTTCTCCATGTTATATTTCTCATGTCAGATAAAACAAGTGGAAATTATCGTTTTTTTTTTTTACATGAGTAATAGTATAGAAATATTAATTCTTGTTTTTCTTTGCCTGTTTACACAAAGTTCATGATTGGCAGAAATAGGCATACTATATTTTCTATGTCATTAAAGTTAGGTTTAGTTAGATTATGTTATCATAATAGACTAGGTTTTGTTGGTGTGTAACTCACCTAGTTGGAACTGGTAGTAGTAAAATGTAATATTCCAAAATGGCTATGTATATAGTCAAAATTGTAAATTACTTTCAAGATGATTATATACTTAATATTTCCTTGGCTTTTAACATGCATATATTTTTCAAAAGGCTATATACGCAGTGGTCATGAACCTATTTTTTCAAAAAGATTATGTACTTGATTGCCACATGTATACCTTCTCATAATGTTTTTCTCATGATTGCAGTGGCTAAATGCCCGGCAGCGAGGAATAATCTTTCAAATATTAAATACCTGTCAGTCCAAATATTTTAATATTGATGATATACAACAACAACCACAATGATAATAATAGTAATAATGATTTAAAAAACAATTATGTTAGCACAAAATATATATATATATATATATATATAATACAAGTTATTATATTGGAAGGCTATCAATATTCATGATCATGAAATTATGGATTTCCGGGTATCTAGTATTTTGAAGATCATTTCCGGCAGCTTGTAGCAAACACACACACACTGATCAACACTAAACAACAATGACAATCAATATTTATTTTTCCAGTGCAGAAGTTTTATTGAGATCATTTCACCGAGTTTGAAGACAAATCAGTCTCATAATTTACTATTACTCATTCTCTAAGTCAACTGAGAAGTGATCATAACTCATCAATATTGAAATTTTTGGATTGCTAGGTACTTAATATTTCACAGATTGTTCTTGGCTGTTGGGTATCTAGCTACAGCATTTTATGATAATAACACTATTGTGGACAGTTTTGTGTATGATACTTTAATAGCTCAACTAAGTAACTGTAAACTAGTAATACATGAAGTTACAAAACAGTCAAGTCTAGTCAAAAATATGAATTGCCTGAATGACAGTCACCTAGCTTTCGTTTTACTATATACGTGATGATTGTATACGTATACAATGTAATTGTGTATATAATCTCAGCCTCCATAAATACATCATAAAATGTTATTAAATTTAGTGCTTGTAATTATGAACTGCCTTAGTGGTTTGAGTGACTTATCCACCAGTATCCTAAGATCCTTTTATTTAGTCATTGTTAAACTTGTGGTATTAAAGTTCTCACATACTCTGTACTAATGTTTTTCAAGATTTTATTATAGTTTGTCAGGGCCAGCTTTTTATTTTTTTAAATCTTTTCCTTAAACATGAAATTTCAGGAAAAATCCTCTTCAATTTAAAAAGTATATTGTAATAAATTATTGAAAAATTGTATTGAAGTAGTTTTATAAAAATGTTTTTTAAATTTAAGAGAATAGTAATCTTTGATTTTCATCAACCACAAGTGCATTAACATGATTTTTGGAAAGCTTATGCTGCAAGCCTACTTTTAAGAGGTGCATTATGGGAATAACTTTTCTAAAAGAGCATTGTGTTTTTTTATTTAATTGAAACTGCCAGTTGACATTCACTTGTAAGATCCCTTTACATCTGACAATTTACTATCAAGACACAGTGATGTGATTGTGTAGGATTCAATATGCTCTTTGAGTTTATGTTGTGTTTTATTGACAGTGTTTTGACATTCATAAATGCTGCTCATGTGTTTTCAGAAATATTTTCATTCCTCCTTTAAGCATAAAAGTACATGTGTGTAATTTGCAATCTCTGCTTGCATACGTGTATTGTCTTGCAGTACTATTTATAACCTGCCACATTGGTAACTGTAATCACATATACATGATTACAAAGGGTAACCACATAATATCATTTTAAGTTGTTTATCAGCAACTCAGAGTGAAAGAAACATAGGTGCATTTGAAGAAAAAAAACCTTATTTACTTAAAGTCTCTTGAAATCTTATAGGGTTAAATGCTGTGCCATAAAACTTCATGAACGTTGCATATAGCCGAGTTGATAAGAGTTTAAATAGGTTGAAACTCCAGTCGTTAGGTGGTTAGATTACAAGCACTGTTGCCTAATGTGATCACGGCAATTTTATGGCATTATTTTGTGTGTTGTTTAAATTAATATTTATTGACAAAGTTTGGTGGAAATAAGATATTTTTAATGTCTTTTTGCCTGACATACAGTTATAAACAAGACATCCTTATGGTCATTGTACATAAAATTGATTTGCACAATCATTAACATAAATTCTGTTAAACTGAAAAAAAAAAATTATAAGCCATATTTCCTAACTTTATTAACTAGAACACTTGATCAGATAACCACTAATTTCCCTCTCTTACATTAGGATCATAAACAATGCCTTTGGAACATGGTATGCTGATTTGGAATACATGTACATTTAGATGGGAAAGACTTGGAAGAATTACTTTGGATGAAGATGATAAGCAACTCTTTTTGTACATTGTTTCAGAGAGAGTCTTATCGTATCTCTCCCTTGGAAAATGTAGAGACAAACACTGAGATAGTAGAGCTTCATCATCACTGTAAGCTACGTTTAATTCACAAGAAACCAGCTTCCAGCCAGAGATATGACAGAAGCAATTCTGAGGATTGTGGAGTTGGAAGCTCAAATGATGGACCAGAACATAGCATGAGTGAGGTGTCACCTAGTGTTGCTAGTAGTCTTATTGAGAATATATGGTTATATTATACATCACATGATTACAAGAAAGTTTTTAAACACAAAGTATTTGCTAGCTTAGATGTAGCAAACTTTGCTGAATTTCTGACAAGTATCATACTTGCAAATGCTATTCAGGAAGCCTCACAATACTCAGCAACACATAGTGATATTGAGAGTTTGTGCCTAAGCAGAGAAGAAACGCCAGTATTTTTCCTAAATCGGAAGGGTAGTTTTATCAGGTACAGGGGAAACTCAGAAGATAGTCTAGAAACTAATAAACACTGCTGTAAAAAGAAATTATTCCACAGATCTTCTCATGGAAATATAAATCATAGTTTCTTGTCAGAAAAAGATAAGAAACAAGCCTGGGTAATAAGTAAGCCATCGGCTCATCCTAGTCAGTGCAGAAATGATGTGATGATATTTTTCATACATGGACTTGGTGGTTCTGCTGACATTTGGAAATTTCAGTTGGACTACTTCTACAAGAAAGGATTTGAGGTGGTTGCATTAGATCTCATTGGCCATGGGTTTAGTTCAGCACCAGATGTGAAAAGCATCTACTCATTCCAGCACATTATGAACGATGTCTTAACAGTTTTTGATCGTTACTCAAAGCCATGTAATATTCTTATTGGACATTCATATGGGTAAGTATAAAGCATCCTTGTATTTCTGAGACTTAATTTATAGTAAATGTTGCTAATAAGATGTAAAATGTTATGAAACTTATTTTTTACTTAGAATGTTTCAAAAATTGCTTATTCATAAGAATACAGGATACATACAAGTTGACAGTTCCTGAATTTAAAAAAATTATAATGTTTTTATTTTAATATTGAAATTGCTGCAGTAAGAAAGATTATTTAAAATAACTTATTGTTGTATTAAAAAAAACTTGTTTATTGTTCTAAGTTTTTGTTTCTTTTTTTTTGTATATGTATGCATTTGTGTGTACAAAAAATATAGATTAGTGCTTGTATGTCATGCATCTGTACTGTATTTTAAACTAACACAAGCTAAGTTTAAAGAAATATGCAGTTTCATCATTTTTGATAATTTTATCATTTGAAGATTACTGTTTTGCATGACTGTTGCTATCATAGCTTCAAATTGCTCAGTAAATTTATATACAAATTTGTTAGCTACATCTATATACTACTAAAACTCTGAAATTGTTTGCTTGTCTATAATTAAATACAGCAAAAACGGCTCACAATAGCACCAATATTTGTAATGAAATGAGAATAGAAAAAGAATAAAACAAATTTTGTTTAAATCGGGCCACGAGTTACCGAGTTAGCGCCATTTTTCGGATCACTTTTATGAAAATTTCTAGCATGAGTAATTTTACATCACACTACCATTCGCTCTTTACGAAACTTCTTCGTTCAAATATATTTCCTTGTCAATGTTCCCATCTTCTTTGAAAAATGAAATGGTCTTTCCTTTTACTCCCAATCAACAATCAAATATCTTTTCTTCAACTATGAATAACACGAATGGATTGAAATATTTAGTTAAATTATCTCAAAATAAACCTTCATTTCCGTGCAATATTGAAATTAGCTTGAATTCTTCATAAGCTTTGAATAGTGGGTGACCCAATGGGTCACGGGGTCTAGTATAACTTAAGGTAACAAGGGATCTATTGGCCCATCTAGGCCATTCCATCCACCAAAATAAACTTCAAAACAAAAATTAAATACTCAAAGCCAGCCATTATCATCAAATAATTATCAAGCTTTCCCTTAAACTTCTTTAAATTAATGCATTCAGTAAATGTGAAAGCAACCCATTCCAAAGACCAAAAGATAATAAAGGTGTCTTAACTGGAGATGAATCCTACCTTGCTATGGGAGAGTGAAGACATTTTAAAGTTTAGCTCATGAAGAATTTGGAATATCATATGTTACGTCTGTGTTCGTTTGTTAATTTCCCGTATAATTTCTTTTGGATGAAACTTTAGCGATACAAGTTCTTTCTTAAATAAAACTAGTTTATTCTCTCTCAATATAACTTTGCAATACACTTAATTTCCACAGTCACTTTAACTTACACGCTGTAATTCACAACGATTCAAGCACTTTACTTATGGTCACTACTGCGCTTGACTCAGTTGTCCATCTCTATCTCTGCCTGTATGCAATTCAATAAATTATCTCGCTTTATTTGTCTGCTTATATACTAAAATAGAGGGCGCGTAGAAAAGACTAGAGTTGCCAGGAAGAGACATGATCTTTCTAGAAACTCATCACATGTTACCAGCGGAAGTCACGTGACTTGTCATTTCTACAGATGAGTTGCATGACTTGTATCCAGATTGTTATTTAGTAGCTGCTTTGGCCATACCCATGAATAATGTGCCATGTGAAAGGTGTTTCATTGCTCAAAATCATATCAAAAGCAAATTTTGCAGCAGTATAAAGGATACTCAGGTAATTACCCTAATAAGGCTGTCCCTCAAGGGACTATCTTTGAATCAGTTTGATTATGACAAGGCTATTAAAGAATTTGAGAAACTGAAGTAAAGAACAAAATTCCAGGTTTAATTTAAATTCATGTATGAAGTTAGCATATGCTTAACTATTTAAGTTAAATTTTAAATACTGTTTTTTTTACACTACTAAATCTTTGAGATTATATGGTTCCTTGGGTGACTGTCAGAAATAGTGCAGTCGTCACAAAAAATGTTGATTGTGGTATATGAAATATCAATAAAAAATCTGATGAAAGATTTCATAACAAGAGGTTTCATTAAAATAATTGTTCTCTTTTGTGTTTGACACTAATGTGTTGATTGTGGTATATGAAATATCAATAAAAAATCTGATGAAAGATTTCATAACAAGAGGTTTCATTAAAATAATTGTTCTCTTTTGTGTTTGACACTAATGTGTTATCATTTAAGACAATTTAAAGGTATATTTTGTTTTCACTAAAAGTAAATCAGAAATGCTGTTTTGTGTCTCATCTGCTCATAATCACATGCAAACTTTGGTACGTTTTTAAAGTTTTGCATATTGACTTTCAAAATTGCTCATCTGATCCTTTAAATCTAAAGTAAAGTGTCAAAGTGATATCGGTGTTTGAAAATCTGATGCAAGCTGTGGGTAGATCTTTTTAAAGGGTTTTTGCAGTTGCAATAGTTCAAATACTTCATTATTTTTGAATGGCAGAACATATTATTTAGTTCTTGAGATCTACATACATTATTATTATTTTATTTAAATTTTAAACTGTAAAAAACTCGAGATTTACCAATATCTTAACTTATATCCTTTAATTATCCAAACAAAACTTTATTTTTTTAATAAAATTTTATGTGGTACTGAACCATTCATATGGGTGACATTTGAGGAGGTCAGCTTTAACCATTTCTTACTCAGATTAGATGGGAGAGTGAGTAAGAGTATTAAAATGGTAACTAGATGATGGCTACAAGAAATTGTGTATTTATCAAACATTGAACAGAAATGATCACTGGACTGTATGATGTATATTTGCTGAGCAGAAAACATAATTAGATGCTGGTAGAGTTAATTGTTATTCTTTCTGGCCAAAATAATTAAAAGGCACCAATAATAGTATTCAGTTGATTACAAGACAACATTTTCTCAGTGCACAAGTCAATGTACTTTCGTGCACACACATTTAATTATAAATCTTTATCACATAGGAATAACATGTTTGCAGTGCTGTACATATCTACATCTATCTATTTGAAGATAAAATATTAAAGTACATTGCGAATTCAAAGTTTTTTCAAAAATAACTTATTGTAATTCACACTGACTAGGTAGGTAGTTCAAGTGTACATTAAGTAACTTGTATTCTTTTAAAGACCTGCATGTAGGAAGTTAAGATAAATTCTGTATTAATTGTAATGCTGGGTGATTAACTCAGTTAATTAACATAATCAATTATGTTTGAACATCAATTACACCAATTATTGTCATGAAAATAACTAATCGATATTACTGTTTTAAATTATTATTGTCCTCAATTATTCAATCCATCTAAGTAATTGAAATATTGCCATTATGATTTCTCATTATTATTTTGGATTAACTTAACTTGAACTTAATTGATTAGTATCATAACTTATGAAAATATCAACTATTGAAATGAGAATTTTTGATTATTATTATTATTTTTTTATTCCAACCATCCAAGTCTCATGTTATAATAATGGTTTAGTTGAAGTAATGGATTAATGAGATCAACAGTTAACTGGTTAGCAAATTCCATAAATTGCTGACCTCTAATTAGTTATCTTTAATGTAAGACTTAGTCTGAATACTTTTGAGAGAATATGATTATGGTAATGATTAATATGAAATGTGTTTTTGTATTTTGAGACTCCAGCACCTCAGACAACAAAACTAAATGTAAAGTGATTTTCACTCAAACTTAGTCTATTTTTTCTGTATGTTTAGTAATCATTAAATATGCATTAAACAATAAGGTAAGAAAAAACTGATGAAATTTTACACATTTTATCAAACCAGGCACCACAGTTTTTTTAAACTTTGTTATTACAGCAGTTTCCAAGCTTTTTCAACTCACATCCCACCTGAATAGCCAGACAGTTTTTATTTGGGACCCGTGCTTAATTGAAGGAGGGGTATTACTGGTCTAGTGTATTTCTGTAGTCTGGTATTGCTTTTATATTTTGTATTTTTGTTTCTTGTTCAAAACATTTGAGGATGATTATAAATAACTATAAAATAAAAAATATGTTTAATTTGCTGTAACTGTGACCCACCTTGATACCTCTTGCAATCCACTAGTAGTGGGTCATAACCCACAGTTTGGGAATTGCAGTGTTACTAAAAACGCAATATCAACAATAGAAAGCAGAACACTACATTTCAGAATATAAGGAATTAACTTATTATGGCAAGTTGTGAATTCTTTTATGTGTGATATTCTTCTTTACTGCTTTTTTAATTTAAATAACTTGGATACATTTTATAACATGGTATTGATAAAACTTTTGTGTTCATTATGATGATCTTAATGACAACATTCAGTAAATGTATCACATTGTTTTAAATAAATACAGGCTGTTCCCTGTTTTTATAAGTTATATATCTATGTCCACATGTACAGCTAATTTTTTGTGTAGCTTTGTGCTAAAATTCTCAAACAAAATTAATGTCTACTTATCAGACATCAGTAATGGATTGAATTTTGGATATATAGCTTGACTTGATTTGTGCTGAAGGCCACCTGGAGGGGTCACCTGTTTGAACCAATCACACCACGGTACAGTAGTGTGTTGGCTGTCAGTCAGTAAAACATGCACATGCCACCAATCATGAGAAGAATTATGCACTCTGCAGGCTACAACACAGCGTGACTTATGAACTTCAAAAGCAAGAAATAAAAATATTTGTTACTCTTAATTTTTCTTATATTTACTTTTGAAATAGAACACTTTTGTGGACCCTGCAGAAGTACATCTAGTTTATTTATGTGTGTGTGCAAATATATATATATATATATGGGTAACAAAAGTACAGACATTGTAAGTTGTGAGATTAAAATAGGAGGCAAAGATTTTTTTTAATCTTCAAAAGATATAGGAACAATTAATATAATGTGTATTCCATGGGCTTGCATGTTTCATCACTAGATATTAATGGTGATTTATTTTCAATTAAAATTTCGACGATTGCAGAAGATATACGTATGAGACTAGAAATTCAGTGATCTGTCATAGTGTGTTTTAGTTTATTTTTATTTCAACTGATCAGATTTGACAATATTTATATTTTAATCTTCTCTAGCTGTGCCTTTTCTTCGTGCCTTGCTAGCCAGCGAATCTCAAAAGTTCGACAACTTATCTTGATAAGTAGTGGAGGACCAAAAGCTTTGAGCCCACGATTAGGTTTGTCAGCTGTAATCCCAGTTCTGGGTCTGTCATTCTTGAATTGCTGTCCTTGTCTTAGGTGTGTATTGCAGTGAAACTGTACTTTCTTCATATTATGAGAAACATTAAATTTCCTGCAGTGTTTTATTTTTACACATTTCTATTCATTTATAGTTAATTTTAAAGTATTAATATTATTTTTAAATGGCTGTGTTATGCATTACGTTTTGCAAGTTTTTTTCTGCCAAAAAATCAGGTTTTCATATGTTTGCTATGACATAGTTCGTATTACATACTGCTGTCTGGGTGTGAAACAAAAACTTGTAATGTTCCTCACAGTTAATTACGTATCCAAAAATCAAACAATCCTTAAGATGAATTTACTTACTGACACTGTAAGGTCAGATCTTAACACATAATTATGGGTTTGACAGTGTTGTACATATACTGAAGTATGATATGAGTTATTACCAGTTAAAAAGTGAAAAATAAGAATGGAACTACTATATGCATACCTAAAGAACCAAAATTCTTCTTTTCAATTCCTTGGGATAACAATGAGTCATTTGGTCCATGTTAACTATTCCATTTCCTACAACACTACTGCATAGTATATATACAATCCATTTTCTCATATTCAATTCTACAATACTCATTCAGTCTCCTCTTAATCTCTTGTGATACTTTAACTTCTACAGTACCTAAAAACAAGATATGCCAGTCACTCTTTCAGTCATGAATGTCTATTGTTTAAATGTTCATTAGTAAAATTGAAGAAAGAGTAATATTTAATAACTCAGCCATCAAATAGTCATCAGATAGGAGCCTTTCTTTATCATCCCTCAAAGACCCTACTTACATCCTAACACTTTACTCACACTTAAATAAAGAAGTGTTTTTTGTTGATTTTTACATTTTCAACCACCCTTATTTTTTTCGTAATTTCCTGTTTGACCAACTCCCTTGACTTCTGTAATCCTGTAAACCTCCTGTCATAGCAGTCAATTTAAAATTCTTAAATTTATAATTCTTTTCTTTAATTTTATCTCTTATACCCTTTTTGAGCCAACCTGGTTTTTTAATTTACAGCAACATTTTTTTATTAGATAAAGAACACGCCCATCTTGACTATTTGAATATTTTAACTTTTTCCACGTTTGATTAGTATCATCATGGATCATGAGACATAAAATTAGTAGTTTTAAATATTTCTAAAGTATTAAAATGTATTATTCATGGACATTTCTGTCAAACCTGGCTTGCAGAGAAGTATTGTAATGTTCTAAGTGTGTCAAAAAAATGAATAAATTATATGTAAAATACATAAATTGTTATAATAACATGATTATTTTTACAGAGCTTGGTGCAGAAGAAGAGGAAGTTCTAATCTGATGGACTTGGTTGGAATGGCGTCTCTACCACGCTACGTTTTGCAGTATATTCTAGAAGGCCAGAACTGGCCATATGGTGGCCGTTCATTTTATCGTAACTTGTATCTCCCCACTCTTCTCATTCATGGACTTCAGGACAGATTTATACCCCTAGAAGATGAAGTGGAGATGCAGAAGGTCAGTGTATTAAATGAGAACAGGCATTCTACTGAAACCTGTAATTGGTCAAACTAAAGTGTGTGATTATATTGAGAACTGTTGTTTAAAAATAGCCTAGTTAATTTGTATTACTGCTTGTTTCTTCATTTCCAAACTTTTAAATAAACTATTGATTACATTGCCATTTTTAAATATAAAATTTTACAATAGCAAAAGTATTGTCAATAATAATATATGTAGATTACTGTTCTATCACCAAAAAAACTTGACACTCTGAAACAACATAAAACATCAGATAATATGTATGGTGATAGTTAAAATATGGAAACAAAATAAAAAGAATGAAAATGCTGCCCTGTTAAATTTAAGTTTCTTCCAAGAATAAGAGTTGAAGGAACAGAGCTAAATTAACTAGTTTGTGGAATACAAATGTGACTTATTAAGGATGACTATGAATTGCACACATCAGATGAAGGTGGGAAATGGTCATTAAGTTTATGGATCAATTTACAGGAAACTGTAGCAATAAATGTGCTGTTGAAGGCTTAAGAATTAAATTTTATCTTTATCCCTTTTAAGCTTTTAATTGGATTCTTATTTAGATGTAGGAACTATGATTCTGTGAAAAATATAAATTATTATGTCAATTGTGAAAATATATTTTGTATATAATTTTCTGAAATCCACAAAACTAGTTTTTGAAGTTAAGTTTTCTAAGTGTTAATAATATATAATTAATATCAAAACATTCACAATTTCAAGAACCCTACTTTCCATTTCAATGTTTTTTAATATTATGTAACAGTCTTTAATGTATAATTCTTTTTAAGCTTTCAATTTTTTTACAAAATTACAGAACATCAACATATTCTGCAAAGACTTTTAACAAAATTTAAATATTGTCAGATTGTCAACATGGTTTCATGAGGGAAACAAGAGGTAATCCTTAGTAGCCATGGCACTTGAAATTCTTTTAGGAAGGTTTAGAATAAATTTATCTATGAGACCTTTTTTCCTTTTTATTAGCTGTGTTTTTGTGTGCAAGTAATACCAAGTGTGGAGCACGCGTATACCCGATTTGATTTTATTACTCATCAGGATCTCTACCAGCCTACCCTCAAATTGAAATTTTTTCAGGCAGGATTAGAGTAAATTAATCTATGAGACCTTGAGCATGGTCAAATACATCATTTGAAAGGGTTTGACCTCCTGAGTTTCAAACTGTAATTAGATCTCGAATTGATCAAAAGATGACAGAGCTATGAGCTAAAAGTTTGTATTTGAAAAAAAAATGCAGAGCCATTCTATGAGCTGCTATGCCATAGCTAAAAATCATGCTTTACTATTCTTTTAACATTCTTTGAAGAGCTCACTGCTTATGTAGATGAGGATAAGGTTGTAGATTTGATGTATTTGTGTTTTCAGAAAGCATTTGACAAAGTACCACATAAAAGGCATGTTCAAAAATGATCTCTGTAGGTGTGAGGAATAAATTGACTCATTGGTTAGAAAAATGGCTAGATGGAAGAAAACAAAGGATTAATATAAAAGGAGTTAAGTCAAACTGGAGTAATGTCACTAGTGAGGTACCTCAGGGATCATTGTTAGGACCTTCATTCCTTTTGATCTACATCAATGACATAAATGAAGAAACAGTCCATATATTACTTGTATTAGGTCATCAAGAAATTAATGTCGCATTTTGGAACGCTTTCATTAACTGCCCCCCAAAAACCGTACATCACGTATAGTAGTTAAACTAACTGCCTAAAATGTCACGTTAGTGTAGCCTAATCCCTTATAGTGATTGCACACAACGAGACACATTCGGCATGTAGTGTTTTTTGAATACAAGAAGGAAAACAAGACCTCTATAGCCACAAAGAATATCAAAGAAGTTTATGGAAATGTTTCGCACATTTGTAAGTGTCAACAATGGTTCAGAAAATTTTGTACAGGTGACTTTAGCCTTAAAAACTGTGATGGCAGGTGCCAACATGTTGGAATTGATGCTCTGAAGACGTTTGTTGAGTCTAACCCCAAGGCAACACACTCATGAAATTGCCCTGAAATTGCATGTTTCTCATGAAAC